TTTGACCAGTTATAAAATGCACTTGCTCTAACATACCTTGTTATCCTACTGTAAGAAAGAGGAAAACCAAAATACTTTTAAAAGAAGATGCTGAAATATGGGCTTTTTCTCTTCCATTCAGGCTTCAGAAGAGATGCTCGACTGCTCTGAGAAAAATCTTGATAACTCCCTCTGCTTTCACATCTTGCTCCTGCAACAATACTTTTCTCCTTGGGGACACTTAGAGCACATCAATATTTCAACAATTAGTAAAATGCTGTTACTAGGCAATAAGTGATTTTTCTCTCCTCTAGAAATTGAGCATGCTAGCTACACTATGGTCACTCAGTCACAGCTACCCTCAGTCCCCATGAGTACGAGCTTGACAAGAAAACTCACTGTCCAGCAACCCACAGAACTTGGGAACAGAGTGGGTGTGAGTAAAAAACTGAGACATCCCATGACCGTGACACACGAAAGGAAACTGCTGAGGAAACAAGTGTAACTTGATTTCCATCAAATAAGCAAAGCCTAAAAGCAAGGCCAGCCATGAGAAATAATATATGGAAAACTTGGAACTATACAGAGAGAATTAATTCTTTTTGATCTCAGAGGAACACAGAAAAAGTAGTAATTATCCAGTATCTTTAGGAAAGACAAGTCCATTCTCATAGGAAAGCATTCTGTTATACTTAAAATGGGAAACAACTGCAGCTGAGGTATGCATATATTTTCACTAAACAAGCTTGAAAGTGCAGAAGGTGCAGCCTGTGCTATGCAAACAAGGCAGAGAGTTTTCCTTCTCCTTTTGTTTCTACCACAGAGTGACTGATTTATGAGCATCCTCCACAATAGGACCCTGTGACAACCATCCCAAGATAAATCCTGCTTGTGCAAACGTTTTAAAAACAGGCAGAATATCTGAGTCATGCAGGAAAGCATGATATGCTTCTGCAGTTCACCTTTCAGTTGAAACTCACTGCACTCAAATTGCATGTCCACAAAAGCCGAAAAAAGTAATGTAGCAAATATAAAGGATTTATCCCAGGAACCGAGTAACTGCTTCAGTTACTCAGGAATGGAGTCAGACCGGAGTTAAGCTGCAATGCTGTTTAGAGGTGAAATTCTGATAGGGAGATATTCCAGAGGTGGTGCTAAGATTAATACAAGTCTCTCTTCCCCCACTGAAGTGGGAACAACCGCCTTGTGAGGAGGCAGTCTTCAGGAGTCCAAGAAGATTAAAGACAATTGTTGCCCTTTACCTTTACAATTTTCATGTATCCGATTCCAGAGGCTGATCTGCTGCAATTTAACAAGCCCACCTTCTCAAACACCATACTCAATTCAGAAGGCCAAACTTTCTTCACAGCATCTCACTTCCCGTTATTTCAGACTGCCACATCGTTCTCCCTCGGAAGCAACGCTAGCGTTCACAAGAGCACTTTCAGCCTTTTTACTCTTTTATCAGTACAAGCCACTTGTTGCCAGCCTAGCTCTTTTCCCCACTGAAAGTATGTTTGTTAGGCAGCCAAGAAAGTTTTTGCAAAAAGAAAAAAAACTGTCCAGAGAGCCACAGTCCCTCCTTCCACAAAATTATGCAAGAAAGATGCTCCTGACAGAAACTTCCTTCCATTGCACTTCTCCCATCTCTCAAGTCCTCTCTGTATAAGGAAACTGAATTAGCATTCCATAGCATTTTAAAAATCAAGCTAAGTAGACACAAACTTTTGCAAGGGCCCTCTTACTTCAGAGGGTGGCATATTTTGATTTACCTTAAAAGTAACTCCTATAGATTTACTCTAACCCCTAAACAAATTTGCTTTGAAGCAAAACAGAAGCATCCACACACTTAGGTAACAATTTAAATACAGCAGCTAAAATTACAACTCCAATTTGCACCATACAACTTCCTCATAACCACGATGCAATTCTAGTATGGACGCAGACTTAAAAAAAAAAAAAAAAAATTCTCCATTCTGCTTCGAAGCAAGTTTTCTGCAGTATGTAGAGACTCAGACATCAGTGACCGATTTAACCAAAAGGCAGATTCCAAATGTTTTCAAACCAAATTTAGTATTTACTACTGCAGTATCTGATAAAACAAAACAAACAAAAACCCCAAAAGAAAATGTTAGCAAATAAATGAGCAATGATAGCAAAGAGAGGCAAAAGGATATACTGCAGATAGATAAATCTGAAAATCCTGGTGAATAACAGAAGTATTTAATTCTTTCTTTCAGTACTCTGCTCTCTCATAGCAGTGAAGAGACAAGATACCAAAGGGAAACAGTGAGCAGTAGAAGAGATGTTGAAGGGTACATGGATTTTTGTAGAACAGTTACCACCACTTGAACAGATGAGAAAATCTATTAAGCTTCTGCATGAATTTTCAGTAAAATATAAGAATTCAAGACCATTTGTCAATTTATGTATGACTTTTACTTTTTTTTTAAACATGGATTTGATTTCCATATGAAACAGCAAAAAAGTCACACTTGCTTTTAGAGAGTCAAAAAAATCTTTGAGAAAAAAATGCTCTTTTATTAAAAAAATCAAAACTTAAAATCCAGCAGGTGGGGGGGAGGGCACACCCCTAGAGGAGGAGCAAAAGGAAAGCACTGTGATGCTGAAACTTAATGAATTTACAGTTCCTTCTATTCCATCAGTGCTCTGAAATTAATCAGAATAGGAACAAAAGCCAAACTGTAAATGCTTGACTTCTCCTGGGCAAACTGGCAGTTAAACTGCAGGGAATTTATTTTAATTTTAGCAACAAGCAGGGGGCTTAGGAGAGCCCACATCAGATTAAGTGCAATATTTTACAAATGGCTACCACTAAACTCCACTACAGCCCAGTTATGAGAGTATGTTTCCACGCTGTGCTGAAACTGGGAAGGCGGAAGGTACATGCCCTCTGCCTCCCTCTCTCCCAGCCTTTCAGGAAGCTATGAAGCTAATTTTCCCCAGCAGTATTCTCTGGAAGAAAAGTTCACTTCTGATGAAGGTAACATTTTTTAATTATTATTTTGTATGCCTCCCAGGGGATATGAGGAGGGGGGAGGTCCTTGCTCACCAGAGAAATGAAATTTTCCTGTATCAGAGCCAGGAATAGACACCCTAAAATTCAGTGATTCTAATCTCCAACCATCCATCAGCAGCAGGGTGGGACCATCTGATTCAGATTTTCTATTAGCTAGTGACTTTGTGTACTAAAAAAAGTCATTGTACCACCCAATTGTTCCTGCTGCTCTCTGCTCTGCAAAAGCAAGGATTTAATACTAGCTGCCTCAGTAGCTGTAAGTACTTCCCCAGCAGGCCTTTTATAACTGGCACTGTCTTCTTCCCACCAACTCTCTGAAGTCCCTACATGCCCCTCTGACTTTATACCACTTTTGCTACCACAACATTCACTGCAAGGTCCTGGTGGCATGCGTCAGGAAAAATAGCTATGATCTACAGTTCCATAGGGGACAGGATCTGAGAACAAACCTTCTCCTGGCAGGTAAAGGGATGATTTGATGGCAGCCATTCATTTATAGAACCAATTAGTATTCCTATTGACAGTGGTCAAGGCCCGTATTTAGTACCTGCTGTATGAGAGTTAAAATATGATACTGTGAAGGTGGTTATTTTATCCTTTCTTTAAAAGGCATGGGTATGTATCAAAACCGGTAACAAAATATATCAACCTAGTAAGTTACTATGTCCATCAAATAACACACTTTCATTGGTTATCTTCCAGACAAGAAAGTAATATTTGAACAATTAGTTTAATATTAATCTATTATTTACAGAATAAAATCAATACCAGAGTAAGTGAAAGTAAACTGGCAGTGGATTTGAAAATAGCACTAAATAAAAACAACTAAAAACGTACGAACAAAAGGCTAACTACAAAGTCAGTTAACACAATCCCCTTCACGCTTTGAAGTCTCAGTACTTCAAAGTTTTCTTCTCCTTCATATTCCTAACAGCCACAGAGGAAAAAAGCAAGCTGGTAAGCCAGGTCTCTCTGGATATTAGCAACATGGGCCATGCACAAGTGACAGTTTTAGTAAAGGCGGTGGCAAATGTTTCAAGAGTTCAGATAGTACTACAGAAGAATAAAACATAACAAGATGAAGGATACAATTTAACTAGACGAAAATCAGCAGAATTAGTATCAAGACACTCATATTAAGTCACAGAGAAGTTTAGGCCAAGAGGACAGAATACTTTGGACCTGTTGTTCTGGTTCAACTTCCTCATCCATCCGAAGAGAGGTAGTCAGGTCTTTCAAACAAATGAAAGAATATACCCTCTACCACGATTATGAAAAGTGACTACTGATTTTGGGTGTCCCATGTAACCCATCTTAATAAGATTAGATTTTCAGAAAACTACAAACATCCCTCTCTTTTTAACTACTTTACGTTCTAGTGCCAAAATTGGCATCCAAAACACACCACAAAACTCAGGTTTCTTTGAAAATGGCCTCCAAAGTCAGTAATGGAAACGTAAAGGAGAAACTGCGCGCTTGGAAAAGCAAAAGCTAAAATCTAGTAGCCTCAGAGAAAGGGGAAAAACACGAACTGTCTGTTTGATTAAATAATACAGTGAGGAGCTTAGAAAGAAACCTCACTAATTCAAAATCATTCCCTGGCAAGGAACTTGGTTTATTTTTTTTTTTAACTATTAAATTAGTGAAACAAATCAACATAAAAGCATTCAAGAAGCCTGCATTATAAATTACAAACATAAGAAGCTGTTCTGATGAGCATTTAGTTTTCTATAGTGAAGTATGGACAGATGTTTCAGTGTTCAACACAGCTTCATGGACTTCTGAAAAGCAGAAGCAAGAACGCTAAAGGTCTTGTTCAGATGAGCAGGTTTTTGATTAGGAAAATAAAGATCAGTAACTCTTTACTCAAAAATTAACAAAATACAAAGGAACTATGTATCACACTAACGCATCAAGTACATATTTGTTAAAGGACTTCTTCCCCTTCCCAGCTATAAGCACTAAAAAAAAGACAGCTTACCCTCTCCACTTGTCCTTCTTTGTGCTTCAGTTTGTACACTTTCAGCTTTGGAAGAAAAGTCTCTGCATAGTTCTTGTCTTCCAAACCTTGAAGCAGTACGCCATGGAATGCCAATCTGCAGGTATTTGCATGAATATCCGTATCCAGCTTGGAGCCGATCACAAGGCACAGTTTAGGACAAGTGACTGGTTTTTCAAACTCTAGCAGAGCCCACTGTTGCCTTGGGAGCTGGACTTCTCCTGACTGGTCATTTTCTTTGTTCTCCTCTGAAGTCTTTGAGTCCTTGGACAAATATTCCTCTTGATAAAGATAATCTTTCTCAAAATTAAAAATATCTTCTTGAATTTCTTCATTGAAGTCAGCAGGGGCTGGACTGAAAAACATCACTCTTCCCATGACTGTTTCATGACCGACTGTGATGTGAAACTTGGCCTTGGTCTGAAGAGCTCCTCGAAAGTACTGGATTTTCTTCAAGGAAATGATAGCAGCATGGATAGTGTGAAGCGATTCTGGGGTGCAAATCAGACCTCGTTCTAGAAGTTTGGGATCAAACTGGGTCACACAGATGCCTACTCTGTCACCCTGCATAGCATAAGTCACAGGAGTATGGAACATCTGCATGGACTTGACTTTCTTTGTCACCTATCGATGAAAGGGCAAGAAAAAAAGTGAAATAAAAATTAATTGCACGTGTGCATCACAAGCACCAAGCCACATAAGACATCCTGCCCGCTTGTAAGGAAACTGATCTTTTCTGGAAGAGTCCACAATTCACAAAATAAAACATGAACAGATTGAAAATACACTCCTATCACTTAAAATTAACACAGGTTTGAACCTCTTAATTTTATTTCTGTTCATGAGACTAAGATTACCATGGCCGCAATCATGTTGATATTTGCATCACCTGTGCTGCAATACCTATAGGCAACCTGCAAAGCAACAATACCCACACCAAAGAATAGCTTACTTTATGTATTCCTCTTAAGTACTGGTACAACCAGAAATTAAATAGTAAAATATCCATCCATGGAACTCCATGACTTTGTTTCCCTACCCTTTCTATGAAACTATTCTGTTCCATTCACTTCATTGACTTGGTTGAATTCAACAGTAAAGTTCAGATAAAAAACTTTATCACGTATTTGTACAGCACTGAGCACAAGCAAATCTTGTAAACTACCACTGCAAAAGAGTAAGTAACAGGAAAATCTAAGCACAAATAACCTATGACACTGCATATTATAAAGAAAAAAAAATATCCTCAAAGTTTTCCTGCAAGGATTTGCATGTTCATTAAATATAAGGCTAGTATCACTGCCACTGGAATTTGGAGTTCCACCTCTTATGATGACTGTAGGAAAAGCAGGGCAGCGTTCCACCATTTAAACATAAAATTTATTTAGCTCCTCCTAGATGCTTTGAAAGTGAAAACAGAAAAAAGAAGTTTGACATTAATAAGCTTGTTATATCACTTATTTCAAAGTGTTCTAAAACAGAAGAGAAGAAAGAAAGAAGCTTTTAAAGATAAGTCTTGGTTCACCTTGATCAGACTTAACCAGTTTAGCTAAACAAACTAAGCATACCTTAACAAGATTTCATTTTGGCTTCTGTTTTTGTTTTGCTAGCTATTCTTTTTTATTGTTGTTGTTTGTGCATAATCAAACATTTTTTCTGGTTATGTGTTTACGTTGCTACCTGATACACTCACACTAATAGATGTTGAATAGCTATTCACTCTTTGCCTGAACTCTCTATGCTAGATACTAAGCTTTCAATAGTGAAATAATGATAGTTTTTGCCAAGAATAAAATAATTCTCTCCTAAATACATATTAAGTACTTGAAGAGGCATCACTATATAAAAGTCATACAAAGCATTTATTATAGAAGGGCTGAAACCTCAAAATTCACATCCAAAACCAAACTCTACGGGAATCTGTGTTCCAGAGATCACTTCTTCAATGTGTCTTTGTGAACATACAATGAATTACACTGTGAACATGGACAGAAAAACAACACAAAAATGGTAGAATAGATCTCCACTCTCTGCATCAATTGTTTCCCCTTTGCTCTCTCCCTTTTCTTAGTACCAGTTCCACAGCTATCAAATCAAAAAGTTCATGCCAAATGCTACCGTGCAATTCTCAGCATTCATGCTTTTAGCATCTTACTCAGCTGTAATTGTTCTCAAATCAACCTCCAGTCTGTGCACACCCTTCAGTAACCTATCTTTTAATCCCTGCTCATCCCATTATCTTCTGCTCCTGAAAGTAAGAAACCAATATAAACAAGCAGTGATGAAGACTGTTCCAAACCTCCCCCCCCCCCCCCCACCCCCCACTATTGCATAGGCTACACAACTTTGAGCAAGTCAGTTATGATAGACTTCTCAAAAGGCTTCTCTGCACTATTCAGTTTTAATCACAGAACTATCTACTTGCAGGATAACACTGAAAACATCAGCTTGTTTGTGAGTCTCAGGTGCCGTGCAGAATGTAAATAAAATCTTTTACATCTTTTCCTTTTCTACAAAGCCTGCCACGCTACAGGAAGAGCCTAATACTGGGCTTCAGACTAATCTTTGTATGTTTCTTCCCAACATCACTGAAGTAAGCAATACTGAGAGAAGACTGTAAAAAAGAAAGAAGAAAGACTCAGCATGAGGGAGATGGGGCAGGAGCTGCAGAAACTTGCATCAGAATTAAGGAGTAGAAGAAAAGTAGATGAAAAGTCTATTGGTTGAATTAAAATCTTCAGTAGCTACAACACAAAAGCACTCCAAATAAGTTAGAAAAGAACGGACACAAACAATATAGAGAATGTTTATCCTTTCCAAACACGGGAAAAAAGGGGAAAAAATAATCTAGCAGATACACAACTTCTGGGAAACAAAAATTCTGTATTCTTTCTTAAAATCATAATTACACAAATAACAATGGCTGTGAGCTTCACTGCTACAAATATTGTTTGCGTTCCCTGGATCTCTGGCAGCTAACCAAAAACCAAAAGATACACCCTTTTTCAGACTATAACAAGTTATTGTTGCAGCACTTTTCAAATCAAGTATAACATCAATGCCTGCGTACTTTCAAACAATCTACAGGGTATTATGAGAAAGGAGATCAAGAGGTGTGTGTATGTAAGAGAAAAATCCCTCGCTAAAAACGCTGGACCAAGAATAGTTTGTCATGAACTTAACTCATGTCAGAACAGACATGAAAGGCTTTTAAACACTTACTAGGACTCAAGTTTCAGATTATTTTGTACTCAAATACATATGCATTATCCTTTTTGCCAAACTTCCTTGACAGTACTACCTATTCTAGACGGGATGGAGAGAAACAATTTAGCAATTAATCTCTACCCCTCTGCTCACTCGCAGGTCTGTATCTTAGAAGGCTGGAACTACAGGGACCTGAATCATATCCTTCCTTTTTTCTTTCATTATAACCTACTCCTCTCTGGTTCAACCACAGTTTGCAACACAGGTGATACAACAGCTAATCTTTTAGAACTTAAACCATTTTTTTTTCTAAATAAAAGTATTTCAAAGAAACAAGTTCTACAGGATTTGAAATTGCCGTTTGAAAATACCAGTCCAGACTATTTTGAAAAACTCTGTATGACTTCATATGCAATAACACTGGCAGTATACCCTCCATTTTCTACAACTGTGGACAGAGGGAATAAACTCACAAGAGCTAAGAGTCTTCCAGCCCTGCCATAGAACTGAAGCTTGCATAAAAGATCTGCGCAGTCTTTTACCCTGAACAGAGCTAAACAGATTTTTTTGTTTATATGGTTATGAACATTCAAGTTGGAAATAAAAAGTAAAAATTGAAGTAAAAAATTTGAAGTAAAAATTTCTTTTTCAGAAAGGGTTAAGTTAAAATATTACAGGAAAATCTTTGCCAGTCTCTATAATATTCTTTTATACATTCATCTGAAACATCTTTCACAGGATCCAGATGAAGTTAAAGAATAAAAATTGTTTAAAAAACACCTGTAGCTGTGTTCACATGTTCATATTACACCTGAGCATTTAATTAGAAGAGCAGTAATGTTCTATAAAACATATTCCTCAAAACTGTTATGCCTGCTCTCACCTTAAGTTAACTCAGATGATTAGGCTTGATGCATCTGACATGCAGACTATAAATAACGACCAAAAGGAGAATTAGCAAGTGTTTTTAAAATACCTATTCCATGCGATTCAACTTTGTCAATAAGATTTGCAGTTCCCAACTATGGCATACAGAGCTGGCTTGTATCAAAATACTGGCTATCTTCCTCCACATTTCTCAGTGTTAAGCTACATTAAAAGGAAGACAGAATTCTAAAGTGTCACTTTCCATAAGAGCTTGCTGTAATTCTGTCTCAGGAATTCGATTTAATTTATTGCCAATTAAACTTCTATTTATCAATTTGGATATTAAGAAACAAAGAAGGCAAAAAAAAATTAAGCAGATAGGTAGGGAAACGCCTTTCCTCCCCCCAGACTCAGGTTTGGTCCCACCACTCTCCTCCTCCTCCCTTCCTCATCCCCACTCCTCTCGCTGAGGGAGCGGCAGCGGCGCAGGAGGTTGGGGTCAGCACACAGCAGCCTCTTGGAGGCTGCCTGCCTCCTCCAGGGGTGTCCCTGCCCCGGTGCGGGTCCCCCACGGCCACAGCCCCCTCAGAAGTACCTCCTGTGCCCCGTTTTCACGCCTCCACCTGTGCTTTCTTTCACATGCATCCTCCTGCGAAAATTTCCCCCTCGTTTCTCCTCATCTCCTTCCTCTGCCTCTGTGTTGCCTCATGTTTTTTGCCTTTTCCATGCCCTCACATCCTTCACAGCAGTTGCAACCCTTTCTTAAATACATCTGAGCAGAGGCGCCAGGTGCTGCTCTGACTGGCTGCAGTTTTGGCGCGTGGCAGCTGTTTCCCTCATCCCTCACAGAGCCGGCTGGAACCAGCTGGAACCGGCTGGAACCAGCACAGGGCAGCTCACAACCGCCTCCTGCACAGGTCACCCCTGCGACCAAAACCCTACTCTTCACACCCAGTACAAACTCCTACGCGTATGAGGGTCTCTGCACTGGACTATCCATAAAGGAGTATCTTCCAGCTGTTGCACGAGGCTCCAAGAGAATGGCCCTCCTTAATAAATTTTGCTGCTAGTCCTCCGATCACAGCCTCCAATGTAAGTTTAAGGAGAGGAAAAAAAAAAAAAAAAAAAGGTCTAGGATACTGACCAAGTCTCTTTCAGAGAACAGCATCCTAATTCAAAGCATTAAAAATCTGTGGAAAAATATAGTGTAAAGCTTTTTTCCCCTGACCAGAGCAGATTATATCTGTGCTGCTCGAGGTCCGTCGCAGGGGGCAAGCTCCCCATCCCGGCTGAGCTCTCCCTCACCGTGAAGCATCTCCTCATTTCTTCCTAGCTGGGTCTGCCTTTAGATGGACACAGTTTTTCCCTTATACTCCTAGTACTTTGTGTCTGAAGTTCCTATACACGTTATCAGAGGACAGAAGAGAAGACAATGGCAAGAACCCACCCAAGCCCATTCCTTTCTGTCCTACATGTTTCAGTACTGGAATCACCCGTAAAAGCATTATACAGCACAGTATATTAATTGACCATAAGCTCTGTTCCAAGAG